TATAATGTAATAGATGATTTAGTAAAGTTTTTGGATATTTTATTTATTTTATATGTGGAAATGTTCATATTTGTAAAGGGTAAATACTTTTTCGCGATCAGGTAATTTCATATGTTCTTTTTACCGGGTTTAAAGATGAGAAAATTGTCATGTATTTTGTAAAATTTTTCTAATTTATGAGAAAAAGCAGTGTACATGGATATAGTGAAGAGGTGCGCAATGCCATTTTGTGCAATTCTGGGATTTTTTTTAAGTAAAATAAGTCGGCGTGTACATTGTTTATGTGTTATTTTGAAAAACGCGTAAGGAGTATGGTATTGTGCACTTTTTCCCAATTTTGCAGTGAATATTTCATGATTAAGCAGTTTTGTTGATAAATTTCTAGCATAATGTAATTCGGCTACTGATTGTTCGAAGAAGTGTTCAGTAGATAAAAGAAAGACAATGTCTTTACTTCGGAAGACAAAATGGCGGCGGGAAAAAAAAAAGAGGTTGCTGTAGGAGAGTTGGTTGCAAATTTTCGCCAAAAATCGCCAAGTTACCATAATTAAAGATCAACCTGATAATTATTTGTGAAATAATTCATTTAATTAAGCAATTTAATCATTATTTCATTAATTATCATTAATTAAGCTGCAAAGCACTCGAGTACAGCTCCCCCGACTCTGCTTGGTGTGTTCTCGGAACTCACGTCTCTCGAGACTCTCCACACGTCACTCGACGATACAGAAGAGTATAGCTCTCGACTCAGCACAGTCTATGACGAAACTCGACGATGCACTAAAAGACTCTCTCGATGCACTCGACGACCACCTCGGCGCTAGACTTCGAGACACTCGCTCAGTGACTGACTATCAGCTCGCTAGACGAGGCACACACACACTAACTGACTGCGGAAAAACCAGCAGGGTTTATATAGCTTTCGGCTTATGTTCGGGAACATTTTGGGCTAAACCGGTAAGAATTCGTTCCAGAAGGTTCTCCAACCGCCCATGGTATATCGCCAATTTTGTCGCCAAATGTCGCCGAACGGGCGATTTCCCACCAAATATGGCAACCTTGCTCTCCTTGCCATTTTATGGTAACCCTAATACTGCTTTGCGGAGAAGCCATCTCACCGCGCCTTTACATTTCGTAACAATATTTTTGCATTCTACGGGTTCATGGATCAAGTCACTACTACTAAACTCGATGTACTCTCACTAGGCACTGCTACTTCGCGTAGAGGCAAGGTTTATACAGCTTTTGACCTGTCTTCGAGAACATTCTGGGGAAAACCGGTACGAATTGGTTCTAGAATATTCTCGCTCCGTTTATTGCATATCTGAAATTTTGTCGCCAAATCGGTGATTTCGTGCCAATCTGGCAATCCTGCCTTTTCTTGAAACTTTCTGGCAACCCTAACCCCGCTTTGCGGGGAAGCTGTCTTACTTCAACTGGGCATTTCATAACAATATATTTCACTTACAGACATAGCACACAATTATAAATTAATTAACAATTAACAGTATTATGTATTTTACACATTTCTAGTCTTTCAACCACACGTGTTAGCAGTGTTCTTCTTAAAAGAAGTGAGAGCTGACTAGTGGCTGAACAACTGAACCACTGAACATGGGCTGTCTTGATTGACAGTGATACAAGCTTTCACTTTATAGATCCTTCTGTAGCTCCAGAGTTCGAAACTTTTATCAACTCAGAAAACTAAGGTTTTAAATTTTATAAGATAAAAGTAATAATAAAAGACCGAAAAAAATACTAAGCTGGATGAAATAAGAAAGTTGGAAGCAATGATAAATTCACATTGATAAGCAATGATAAGCATAACTTCATCAAAGCCTAACTTTTTCTTCCTTCTTCCTCGCAAGAAAAATCACAATAACATCAAAAATACCCCTGCATTCTAGTAAGAATAGAAGCCTGGAATCTATAAGAATAGAAGCCTGGATAAAACTGTCAACATTTATTTGCTTTATCCTCTTGACTTTGAAGCGCAGAGAGAGAAAGAGATGACAATAAAAATTTCAGCAGTTATTTGTACAGTTTCACAGCTAGAAGATGAAGGTTCTTATTATTTTGTTTCTCTATTCCAACAAACAAATATAATGTTCTAAGTTTTGAAAGAAATCAGAGCGAGAATTCGACAAATATAACTGGGGTCCATACATCTAAGAGTTATTAACTTCTGTTTTTTTATATCAATACCTATTTTCACTAAAATTATGTTCTAATCTTTGGAATATCGTAACAGGTAGTTTGGCAACATTTTGGTAAGGCGATAACTGTTACTAGCTACGACTTTAGCAGTGTACATGGATAAAGTCAAGAGTGTGCGCAAAACCATTTTTGTGCAATTCTGGGATGTTTTTTTAAGTGAAAATAGGTCGACGTGTGCATGGATATTGTGTATGTGCAATTCTTAAAAAAAATGCGGCAAGCAGTGGGCGATTGTGCACTTTCTCCCAATTTCGCACCTAATCTTCGTCATGATTAAGCACTTTTGTTCCATAAAAGTTCTAACATAAGCGTAATTCGGCTAGCAGATTGTTGGAAAAAAATGTTGAGTAAAAAAAAAAATGCCCTTACTTCGTGAAAACAAAACTAGCAGGTTGCTGTAGCATGGTTGATCGCCAAAGTTTTGCCAAAAAATCGCCAAGTTACCATAATTCAAAGATTAACCGAAAATAGCAATGTAGATGGATAAAGTCAAGAGTGTGCGCAATGCCATTTTTGTGCAATTCAGGGATGTTTTTTTAAGTAAAAATAAGTCGACGTGTACATGGTTACTGTGTATGTGCGATTCTGAAAAACGAGGCAAGGAGTTTGCGATTCTGCACTTTTTCCCAATTTTGCAGTTAATATTTGTCAAGATTAAGCAGTTTTGTTCATAAAATTCTAGCATAAGTGTAATTTTCGGCTAGCAGATTGTTGGAAAAAGTGTTGAGTAAATAAAAAGAAAAGAAACATGTCTTTACTTCGTGAAGACAAAATGGCTGCAAAAAAAAAAATAAAGGGTTGCTTTAGCAGAGTTGGATCGCCAAGTTTTCGCCAAAAAATCACCAAGTTACAATAATCCAAAGATTAACCGAAAACTGATATTTATGAATACATGTGATTTTTATATTTTTAATATAATTTTATGCACATTATTATTGACACTAATTTGACTTTTTCAAAAATTGAAACACCTGACCAAATGATTAAATCCAATACTTTCGTGAGGGAATTATACTTCAGAATTATTTTACTACCAAGCTAATGAAAATTCCTGTATATAAGAAAATTATATGCATGATAATAATAACTTTAAGTCATCTAATAAAACACAAAACAATTTCATTAAGAAAATAGCTCATTTTGTGCTTAAATTGGTGACCATACAGCTCAAAATATTATTAGAAAGGTAAATCTCTGGTCGCTTTTTTACACTCGACCGGCCTAAGAAAGACAAAAGCAAGGAATAAAATCCGGTTGATCTATACATTATGGTAACTTGGCGTTTTTTGGGCGAAAATTTGGCGACCAACTCTCCTACAGCAACCCTCTATTTTTTTTTTCCGCCGCCATTTTGTCTTCACGAAGTAAAGACATGTTTCTTTTCTTTTTATCTACTGAACACTTCTTCCAACAATCTACTAGCCAAATTACGCTTATGCTAGAAATTTTATCTTACAAAACTGCTTACTCATGACAAATATTCACTGCAAAATTGGGAAAAATTGCACAATACCATACTCCTTACGCGTTTTTCAAAATAACACATACACATAAACCATGTACACGCCAACTTATTTTTACTTAAAAAAACATCCCAGAATTGCACAAAAATGGCATTGCGCACACTCTTCACTATATCCATGTACACTGCTTTTTTCTCATAAATTAGAAAAATTTCAAAAAAAAAGTATTTACCCTTTCCAAATATGAACATTTTCACATATAAAATAAATAAAATATCCAAAAACTTTTACCTCTAAATCATCTATTACATTATACACGTCACCAACGAATTCATACGCAAGCATACAAATACTTAGTATCAAATATTTAAATTATTTTCCATGCACGCATACTTCAACTTAAACGTATACCAAATTCCTACACACATAAAATTCACAAAATAACTATCATTTAATTAAAATATCACTAAACCATGTACACGCCGATTTATTTTACTTAAAAAACAATCCCAGAATGCACAAAAATGGCATTGCGACACTCTTCACTATATCCATGTACACTGCTTTTTTCTCATAAATTAGAAAATTTCACGAAAATACATGACAATTTTCTCAATCTTTAAACCCGGTAAAAAGAACATATATGAAATTACCTGATCGCGAAAAAGTAATGAACATTTCCACATATAAAATAAATAAAATATCCAAAAACTTTTACCTCTAAATCATCTATTACATTATACACGTCACCAACGAATTCATACCGCAAGCATTACAAATACTTAGTATCAAATATTTAAATTATTTCCATGCACGTTTATTCCAACTTAAACGTATACCAAATTCCTACAAACATAAAATTCACAAAATAACTATCATTTAATTAAAATATAATTAAGTTCAAAAACACTACTTAAAATATAAAGGAGCACATACATTAAATTAATACATACATAAATACCCATTTCGAATTCACTTTAGTTACGGCCATGGGATCCAAAAATTCACGAACACTGTTTCACACACAACACAGAATAAAGCCAAATACAAAATTTCCAGATTTTTTCCCGATTCCCTCCCCTTTTCCGATTAAAGAACCGTAATTCGTCCATTAATATCACAAGACATATCCCATGATCTCTCATTTCCCTCACACAAAATAATGCGTAATCGGAACTGAGTACTGCTCACATTATTACCAAAGTGCCAGGTAGTAACCTTTATCGCCTCCAAAATGTCGCCAAACTACCAGTTACCATATTGTAAAGATCAACCTAAAATCCTATAAGCTAATGACATTAACAAAATTACACGACTTACCCTCGCACTTTTTATGAAGATCTTGTACAGTTCCAGGATTCAAGGTCTGATGAAATCTGTAAAGTTTCTTTTCCTGGATCATAATTTGAACTCGAAGGTTGCTTGGGTAAATTTGGTGGAGGAACTGATTCCAGTATTGTTGGTTGGACAATAGTAAATACGTTCCCCATTTATTCAGCTTAAAAGCTCTAAGGAATATGCTCTAAAGAAAACTGGAACCCGGTCAGAAAATTAGAAAAACCTCGCTTATAGTTGTTCAGAATACCCTTGACAGTCCATAATATCACCATGCTCGATTTTCAATAGTTGAAGTTCTAGTGAGTTGCCTCAACCGAAAGTATAAAATAAAATATTCCTAATTTATAAATGCATTTTGAATACAATAGAAGAAAAGACAGACAAAGTAGACAGATGTCTTGTTTTGCACCCGCTAAGTCTTTCTGAACCGATGGGCGAAAAATCAAGCTTAGGTGCGAAGGAAAGGCATTTTGAACATGGAGGATGAGATTTTAGAATATTCCAATTAATACCGTAACAAAAATTTATATTTTTATCTATGGATCCAAGTAGTAAGAATTCTGTTGATGGTGGTTCCATGATATCGTCTTGAGCTATTATTTCGTGGGCGTATTTAATTCCTTCATCTTTAATTCTGAACAGGGTTATATCGTCAGAGGTAAAATGCAATTGTTATTTTTAAAGTTCAAGGAAAAAGTGTTTGTGTCTAATCTGAGTATGCGAGGGTTTGTAATATCTGCCACATGTGCTGTATGATGTTAAGCTGCACTTCCAAACATTATGTTAAAGTTTATCATTCTATAGTTGTCACTTTTGTCACCAGATACAGGCTGCAGCGTAACGCAGGGAGGCGTCCAAACGAGTTTATTTTCGAATTTGAACCAAATCTTTTCAGCAATATTGTCTTCTGTATCAATGGTCATACTGGAAGGAACTCCCTTTAAATATCCTGTAATGAAAATTCCATTACACCTCTCATTGTAGAAATCTGAAGTTCTTAAAAATGGGCTTTTGACAGAGCTTAAACTGTGCCGGTGCGCATATTTCACAGGTGCACATCAGCGTAGCCACTGAGGGAGGAGTTTCGAAAATGGACCAATGAGCTTCTATTGCTCTTGTGACGCTAAATCGTCGTGCATGCGAGCGTATGTTGTTTGCGTTTTAATTTGCATTTGTTTCGAAGTTATAAATGTATGGCGTAATAGTAGAAAATCTCGTAGTGCTTTCATTATATCAGATTAATTAATTGCTGATATTTCACTTTCGCAATTTTTATCACACATTGATATTTGGATTGATGTTCACGGCATATTATCGCTCTTTACATCGAGAAAATGACTAAAGCTACAGTTAGCCTCGAATATTATGCATTTCTAACACCTGTGGATTAAAAGAGAATTCAAGTGTATACCTTTTTTCCTTATTGAGCTGAGAAGGATTGGAAGTGTTACAATGAATCTAATGTTTTCTTATTTCAGTGCTCGCTTTCTTTTGCTTTTGAAAGTGTAAGATTTAGAATACATATTGGGTATGATCTAATTATATCCATTGTTAACATCAAAAGTTATATGTGAATAAATTGAATATATTCGTTGTGAATAAGATAAATTCATTCTGTTTAATGATTATTTCTTGTGTAGACAGTACATTTAAGAGTGAGCAGTTATTAAATGTGAAATTTAACACATAAAATGTATACAAATGCAGATTGGTAAAGTTCACTTTGGAAAAAATTCTGCATTGCCTGTTATCATAGAATATTTTTCATCTTTTTCGTATAGATTTCAATAAAAATTGCTGACTTCTATTTACGTATATGATTGGTGTAAATATTTTTCTCATATGCTTAGTTTTAAGTAAAGATAGCATTTGGGCTCAAATGTTTATCACATATTTCTTTCTCCATCTTATTTAGCACTTATTAAATAATATTTCACATGAATATTTTTGCGAAGTATCCAACATGTGTTTGTATTTATCTCAAATTCTTTCAACCAGGTAGTAAAATCTTCACAATTGTTTATATTTGATCTACCTTCGCAATGAAAATTTTCAGAAGAAATCGACGATGCTTTAATTATTTTGTACAGAAAATTGCGTGGCAAAATATTCTCAACCATCTTGCCTAAATCTTAAAGAGTGCGAAAAGTTATGTGACATGACAGAAATAATACTGGGTGTCCATTGGTCCATCCTAGGAGACACTCCCTCGGTGGCTACACAGATGTGCACTTGTGAAATATGCCGCCGGTACCTCTCAGTTTCTGAGGTAAATCGTAATTCTAGCCGCAGCGCTCCTGTACTGCTATGTACAGGAGCGCTGCCCCTCTTTTTAGAGAGTGAAACACAACTCTAAAATCGATTATAACTTCCGAATTAACGTCTGTCTTTCTCTGGGGAACAAACACTTTAATGGAGGTTAAGACTTTAAAATTCACATGTCAGAGACTCATTCTCTAGATTTGCGCAATAAATTTTAAGATGTGTTCCCGAAAGTATTAACAATGATTACGATGGTCTTCCACGTCCAGCGCTAGTGACCTGTTAGTGCATTTCTCCTGCAGACTTGAACTATGTACCCAAATAGAGGGAAATTCTCACCTATGAAGACCTTACATTTGGCTCGCATGTTGTCATCGGTTTGGATTTTGGGGAAATTTTTTTGCCCAGCCGCATTCTGCTTGACAGTTAGAATTATATTGGCAGGGCATCACTGCCAGAAAGCGTTGGACTCTCTTTGTTTCCGAAGCTACAATTCTTCATTAAAATTTCTTTCCATACTCGCATATTGCTTCTAGCATTCTCTCTATTTCCATTAGTGACGCTGTTAATCGTTTTATTTTCTTCCACTGGTGTGCTGGAAAAAGAAGTTTTCCCCTTCCCCCATTGAAATCGTACGTTTTAATGCAGTGATTCTCAACCTTCTTTTTGTCGCGGCATGCTTTTAACGATTTCAAAATATGGTGGCACACAAATAAAAAGATAAATTTAAAATTTGTTTACCTACCTATATAATACACTGTGTAAAATAGTTTATGATAATAATTTTGAATGTAAAATAAAATAACATGTACCATAAAAACAGCATTACGTTTATTAAGGGATTAAATACAAGTTAATAATAAGAATACTGTCAATGAGAAATTTGAGCTTGATGTTTTTGATAATTTCATTTATATTTGGTCTTAAAAATGACAATGCTACTCTCATATCGTCTTCTACATTTAACAGTCTCGATCTTTTTTTTTTTTCCTTTTTATACTGGTTAATACTGAAAATCCGAATTCAGAAAAATAAGATATAGAAAACTGTAATAATATTTTTAAAGCTTTTTTGGTCATCTTGGGATAATCGCATCTGATGTTAATCCAAAATGAATTAATTGATTCTTCCGAGTATTTTAAAATTAAATATCGAGTATCAGAAAGCGAAATTAGTTCCTCCTCTTCGTTCAAAGTTAATTCAAATAGAAAAGTCTTCGACACCAAAATCGGCTTGGATACCACAATTGGCGCGCTTATTCTCTATACTATTAAAATCTGTGCGCGTCTGTTTGTTTGTTTGTAACCTCATCTTCTCCGAAACGGCTGGGTGTAGAGCTTAGCGGAGCATACCGTTGGATTCAGGACGTCCGTGGCTCGCCATTTTGGCCATTCGCATCTTCGTGCGACTTTAATTAGCAAAGATGGTAATTAGCCCGAAAAATGCACAAAAAATTGGTATCTCCGGAACTTAGCGGCCGATTTCTTTGAAATTTTGAATTTTAAACCCGCGAGACGATGAAACGACTGATTGCGTTGAGTCCGCACTGATTTGCAAATTAGGAGCCTAATGAACGGGGTAATTAAAAACGCCCTAATACTCCTTTTTCTTTCCTTCCCTTATCTTTGAGGACAAGCTAGGATTCGAAGGCGACGGGTTTTGAGGGGTTGCAGCTGTATCCGGTCCACCTTTGGAATCGTCAAGGCCATTAGTGCGGGGGACGAAATTAACGTACTGGAGAATTTTTAATCATTATGCTAATTAATCATCCTAATTTGCCAATTGTCATCTAGGAACAAAAAGCATCCGTCATTTGAACTATCTATGAGTGTAACATTTTCGAAATTTGGAAGAACCGAATCGCATTATTGGTTACCCAAGTTACGAATTTTTAGTGCATTTTTCTTAATTAGACAATTGAACCGGAAAAATGCACAAACAATTTGTAATTTTTGAATGAATAGGGCGATTTCTTCCAAATTTTGAATCTTATGCTTGATATATTTTCGATGAAGGATGGCGTTGATTGCACACTGTTATGCGAATTAGGAACATAATTAGCAGGGTCATTAAAAACGCCCTAATAATCCTTTTTCTTTCCTTCCCATATCTTTGTGAACAGGCTGGGATTCGAAGGCGACGGGTTTTGAGGAGTTGCGGCTGTATCCTGTTTTCCAGTTGGAATCGTCAAGGCCATTAGCAGGGGACGAAATTAACATAGTGGAAGAATTTTTATTCATTATGCTAATTACTCATCTCATTTTCCAATCAATCTAGAACAAAGGGCATCCCTCATTTGTAATCTATGGCAGTTGTAAATTTCTAAATTTTGAGCCGATCGGATAATTGGTTCTCAAGATATGAAATTTTAGTGAATTTTTCTTAATTAGAGAAATTGAGCTGGAAAAATACATAAAAATACGTAACTCTTGAAAGAATTAACCGATTGTTTCAAATTTTGAATTTGCACTTCCCGGATGCTAAATAAAGGTTAGTGTTCGTTGTAACTGTTTTGCTAATTAGGAGCCTAATTAGAAGATTATTAAAAAAGCGCTACTACCTTATCTCCCCTTCCTAACTCTTGGATGACGGCCTTCGATTCGAAAGCGACGGGTGTCCGGAGAGGGGGAGATGTTTCCGCACGACTTTTGGAATCGTCAAGGCCATTCGCCAGGGATGAAATTAAAGTAGTGGAGGATTTTTATTCATTATGGCTAATTAATCTTCTAATTTGCCAATTGTCTGGAACAAAGACCAAACCTCTTTCAAAATTTGGCAATTATAAGATTGTAAATGCGAGCCGATCGGACTGTCGGTTGCCGAGATACGTATTTTTTGTGCATTTTTCGAATAATTCGTGATTTGGATCTGAATAAGAAAAGCAACTTTGAGTAATACAAATTAATATGTCTAACAGCTTAAATCAGCATGCTCTTTGTGTTACTGAGCTACGTAATCATTCACTGCTTTTGTTATTATATATAAATGCATTAATATAATGTCTCTGTTCGCATAAGCTATATTAAATTAAATTTTAATAAGAAATTTAATTGCAAAAAATAATAATTTAAACTATTTATTAAATTCTGATTAAATTTTTTCGTTCAGGTTTTAAATTAAATTTCTGTTGCTCGGATATGGTATATGGAAAGTTTTCTTATTATAAATAATTATGATTGATTACTACATAATTATATATTGATGCACTTTGTGTGCGATTATGTTAAAGTTTATCAAAAGGAATTTTAATAACGAATCTACTGTTTGAATATAATACCCGAAAATTTTTGCGATACACTTGGCAAAAAGCCTGAGCTGTAAATCGTGAACACTGGTAGTTCAGTCCAATTTTCGAATCTCGGCGAAAGGCTGGCTCATAGGTGCTTCGTATCTTCCGATGTGTAACGTGTATGCAGTAATTGTGGATGCTACGTATAAAGCGGGCGCAGCCCGCGCAAACTGCTAAACACTGTTTCGGTCCAGCTTTCGAATAAAGGCGATGGGTTGGCTGCATGGTGTTTTTGTATTTATCATGTTGCAATATTTTAGGACGTATAGCGAATAATGGGTGTTTTCGTGATTTTACACATGTGTATCCTGTATGAAGAATCTTTGGAAGCCTACGTGAATAAAGCGGGCGCCCGAGCAAAAGCTGACTCTGGTAGTTCGGTCTAACTTTCTAATACCCGCGAAAGGGCTGGCTGCATGGGTGTTTTGTGATTTTAGCATGTGTATTGTGTATGCAGTATCTAATAGACGGATACGTAAATAAAGCGGGCGCAGCCCGCTCAAATCCCTGAACACGGTAGTCGGTCCATGTTTCGAATCCAGAGAGCGGGCTGGCTGCATGGGTGTTTTCGTGATTTTCTGCATGTGTATTGTATGCAGTGTCTTCTGGATGCATATGTGAATAAAGCGGGCAGCCAGCACAAAAGATGAACACTGGTTCGGTCAACTTCCGATCCCGGCGAACGGGCTGGCTCATGGGTGTTTTCTTGCTTTTACGCATGTGTATAGTTTATGCCGTATCTCTCCATACATAGGAACAAAACGGACGCAGACTGCTCAAATGCTGAACATGGTAGTTCGGTTCAACTTTCGAATAACGGCGAAAT